ACCCAAAAAAATACATAAAAACCATATAAAAAATCACCAAAAAAATCGAAAAAGCATTAAACGTTAAAAATATTCAATTTTTTTTCGTTTTACGCGTAAATCGCCTTGACCGCGTGTGAAGCTAGTACAGCTGTCCAGCTGCCACGATGAATCCCGGGGCCCCAAACTACCCCATGGCGTCATTGTACGTCGGGGACCTGCACTCCGACATTACGGAGGCTATGCTGTTCGAGAAATTCTCGACTGCTGGACCGGTGCTTTCCATACGGGTCTGCAGAGATCTGATCACCCGTCGCTCTTTAGGGTACGCCTACGTGAATTTTCAGCAGCCCGTTGATGCTGAGCGCGCCTTGGACACGATGAATTTCGATTTGATTAAGGGAAGACCTATCCGTATCATGTGGTCCCAACGCGACCCCTCTCTGCGTAAGTCCGGGGTTGGGAACGTGTTCATCAAGAACCTCGATCGGTCTATCGATAACAAGGCTATGTACGATACTTTTTCGGCCTTCGGCAACATCTTGAGTTGCAAAGTGGCTCAAGATGAGAACGGTCAGAGCAAGGGGTTCCGGCGTCGTGCATTTGAAACCGAAGAATCTGCTAACAAGTCCATTGAAAAGGTAACTATTACACTGTTTTAGGAATTGGATTTATCATTTGACTCATAGCTATAGCAACTGATACAATAATGTAGTTGTCTCATTTTTTACTCTGCTGTTGGCTTACAGTAAGCTGATCAATAGCAGTGTGATAATTTAGCAACCGATAGCCTGTATCTATGTTTATATGGCTTGTAATATTCAATCTACATCTAAGTACTTGTATTTGCTTGAAAGGCTTGGTGCAAAGACCATTTTTATAATTTATTTTATTACAGTTTCCTATTGCATACAAAAAAAAAGAACATTGTTCGTGTGACACATTACAATAGCTTTATATGAATTTATGGTTTCCCATTACGTTCAAAAAAATGTATTATATGTTTATTTGACAGATTGCAATAATTTGTATAAATTGAACTAAAGATTCATGTGATACTCAACCTAAATATATTCAAAACATAAGTTAAGTTAAATAGACAAATTTTCATGTGCTCAATTACTGCTAGTGAAAATGTATACAGAGTGTCCCGAAAAAAGTGTGCAATATTCTAACAGCAGTTTCTAGAGCTTAAAATAGGAAGAAAAGTTTTTATAAACATAGACCGACAAACGTCCCTTAAGGGTGCTACAGTCTTTTAAAGGGGCTCCCCTAAAGATGGTTTTTCCTTAATAT